ATCTTTATTATTTCTTTTCTTTTGGTGGCTGTAGGTTCCCTCTGTTAGTCTGTTGCTAATTGTTGTAGATGCTGTGTTAATGTGTTAATTTTGGTTCTTTCTTCTTTTTGGATGTGTGCATTTATTGCAATAAATTGTCCTCTCAGAACAGCTTTCACTGTGTCCCAAAGAATTTGGTATATTGTGTTTTCATTCTCATTTGTTTCTAGAAACTTTGTGAATTCACGTTTAATTTCTTATACTATCCAGTCACTTTTCAGCAGGGTGTTATTCACTTTCTGTGTATTTGACTTTATTTCCTTGGTCTTCTTATTGTTGATTTCTAATTTGATAGCATTGTGGTCTCAGAATATGCTTTGTAGTATTTTGATATTTGTAAATTTATGGAGATTTGTTTTGTGGTGCCCAAGATAATATACATATGCCAACAAGGAAGACCAATTAATAGTACTATTTTTCAAATTTGCACACCAAACCAGTGATGATGCAATTGAAGAAATCTACTAACTTCATTAGTCTGAAATTGATCAGACATACCATCAAAATGCATTGTTAACTGCTGGTATTTGAATGTGAAAATTGGAAACAAAAAGGGAAGATCATTTCTGCCATGCACGTGTAGTGAGAACCAGACGGGCCAAGATTTTTAGTCACATACTTAACAAATTAATGCAAATAACATAAAAATCTGATACAATTGTTCAGTTCTTCCCTTTCATGACTCCTTGCCCACTGGACAACAGACAGCCACATTGAATCACTACCCAGTATGAAATCATGCACTTAGCTGTGAGTTGAATTGGCATCTCAGGAAATTTTACATGATCATCCTTCATTTTCAGATTATATTTGAAGCCAAACACATTACTTAGTTTCTTCCCAGCACCATTCCTTTACTCTACCAAACTGAGTGGAACTTTGCTTATCTTTTTTATGTCTATGATGCTACCTTCTAAAATGCCTCAAGACTTCAAGTAAAATAAACTGTTCTTAGGATATTATTTTATTAAAGTCAGTGAGTAAGTTTAGGTGGTAAATTTCAGTGGTACAGCGGAACTAAAAGTGATACAAATAATCATAATTTTATAACACAATCTAATTTTGTTGTTGTTAAGTTCCATCAAGTAGGTTCTGATCCATAGTGACCCTGTATAAGACCTTGAATCACCAACCTTGTGGTTCAAACTGACATTGCAGGCCAGTACATTAACCCCCAGTGCCACACCAGGATTCCAATCTTATATTGTTGTTGTAGTCAAGTGCCATCGAATCTATTCCGACCCATAATGACCCTGTATAGGGTTTCCAAGGAGCAGCTGGTGAGCTTGAATGGCCGACCTTACAGTTCAAATGACTTTGCATTCTGGTGCATTAACCCACAGCACCACACCAGGACTCCTAATCTAATATTAGGGGATATTAATCTTACAAAACTTCACTCAAATGAAAATTTATGCATGCTATGAAAAGAAAAGCCTGAGAGGGCATGCTTGCAGAGGCTATATAAAAAGAAAAGATTTTTAAAAGCATTATAGCTTTTAATGATATAAAAGCTAATAAATTTAAGAAAGGGAAAAACACATAATACAACTCTCTCTTATATTAAATAATCGTTCAAGGTAGAGATAATGATATTCCAGAAGTAATATCATTAGTACTGTAGTATACTGTTACAATAAATTTATTAACTCAATGCTGGAAATAGGATATTGAAAAGGATCACGTCACTCTTAAGTAATCCTTAGTAACTCTTCTGTTGTTAGGTGCCTTAGAGTCATAGTGATTCTACGCACAAATGAAAGAGAGACTATCCGGTGCTGTGTCATCCTCACAATTGCTGTTATGCTTGTTGCTGCCACTGTGTTAATCCATCTTGCTGGGAGTATTCCTCTTTTTTGCATACCCTTAATTTTACCAAGCTTGATGTCCTCTCTAGGGACTGGTCCCTCCTGATAACATATCCCAAGTATGAAAGACTCCCGTTCCAGGCTTCTCAAGAACATTCAGGTTGCACTTCTTTCAAAACAAATCTGTTTGTTCTTCTGGCAGTACATGGAATTTTTAATATTCTTCTCCAACATAATAGTAATTCAGTGTATTGATTATTTTGTGATCTTCCTTATTCACTGTCCAACTTCCACATGCATATACCATTGAAAATGCCATGTCTTTAGACAGGCACACCTTAGCCCTTAAATTGATATCTGTGCTTTTTAACACTTTAAAGAGGTCATTTGCAGCAGATTTGTCTAATGCAATAAATTGCTTGATTTTTTGACTGTTGCATCCATGCATGTTGATTGTGAAGCTGGGCAGCAGAAAAGATGGTCCCATGGTAGCCACATACTAAGCCTGATGAGCATTAAAGTCTTTTATAAATGAATTAGGAAAGTAATGCATGCTTAAAATTAATATATTGCTAAAAAAACACTTGGTTACATTTTTTTTTTTTTCTGCAGCTCCAAGGAAATGTTATTTGAGGAGTAAATAAAATTAAAATCAAATTCACTGTAATTGCAGAACATGTCACTATACCATTTCATGAAGTAGCATATGATCTAAAAAATAAACACAATAAAACCAATTGCTGGTACTAAGGGAAGAAGTTAAATTGCACTGAAGGCATTGGAAAACAAACCAATAAATGAAAGCCTGACTCATATAGCCCTGTAGGATAGAATAGAGCTGTCGCATAGAATTCCAAGGCTGCAAATCTTTATAGAAACAGAACTGCTACACTTTTCTTACAAAAAACAGCCCATAAGTTGGAATCACCAATCTTACTGTTAACAGCCAAGAGGTTTTAATACTGCATTCACTAGGGCTTCTTGATTAATAGCAGGACTCCAGGAATTGATGGAATACTAATTGAGATACTTCCAGAAACAGATACAATGCAGGAAGAGTTTTCTTTACTGTGTCAAGAAAACTAGAAGACTTGGCCAATCTACTGGAAGAGATCATATTCATGCTCATTCTTAATAACAACAATCAAATGGAATGCAGAAATTATCTAAACCTTTCATTTATAGCACAAATAAGCAAAATATTACTGAAGATAATTAAGAAATGACTGCAGCCATAAATCAAAGGGAACTCCTTGAAGTACAATTCAGATTCAGAAGAAGACATGAAGTAAGCGATATGATAGCTGATGTCTGATGGGTCTTGGATGAAAGCAGAGAATACCACAAAGATATCTGCCTGTGTTTTTATCAACTACATGAAGGAATTTGCAAATTATTAATAATTAATAATTACATAATTTAAATAATATTTATAATTAATATTTATATAACTTTTAATATTTATATAATTAATAATTCACAAATTATTAATAAAATGAAGAATGGGAACCACAGAACACTCAATTGTGTTCTTAAGGAACCTGTATATAGACAAAGATGTAATCATTCAAATACAATAAGGAAATACTGCATGGTTTAAAAATAGAAAAGTTGTATAATCCTTTCACTTTACTAATTCAATATATACATGCTGAGTAAATAATCTGAGAAACTGGAATATATGAAGACAATATATCAAAATAGGAGGAAGATTCATTATTAACCTTCAATGTGACAGAACTTTCTTGTCCAAAATGAAGTGACTGTTACTGATGAATGCCAAATATTTCAGCCTTCTGTATGGATTATGACTGAATGTGAATGAAACATAAATCATCACAGCTGGATCAACAAATAATATTTTTATAAATGGAAAAATAATAGTTGTGTATGGTTTCCTTCTACTTGATAAAAATTATTATTCACGGAAGCTGCAGTAAAGAAATCAAATAATATTGGATAAATTTGCTGTAAAAATTTCTCTTTAAAGTTTTAAAAGGCTAAGATGTCACTTTGGTGACAAATGAATGCTTGATGCACCCATGTCTTTTTAAATCATTTCATATGCATGTGAAAGCTGAACAATAAGATAAGAATACTACAAAGGAGGTGAAGCATTAAAATTGTGGTGTTGCTGAAGAAGGTTGAATATACCATGACTACAAATACTCACAGAGTCCTAATGTGGCACTTTAGAATAAAGCACTGGACCAAAATGTCGGCTTGAATTGCCGGGATGGAGGTTCAAAGCTACCAGCTGCTTCTGGGAAATCGTGTACAGAATCACTATGAGTTGGGACCAACTCAACAACAGTTCACAATAACAACAATTACACACACACACAACAAACACAAACTAGCAAAACCCTACAAATCAGTCTTAGAAGAAATATACTACCAAGTCTTTATTTCACTTACACTGCAAACATCTACAGGAAAGATTAATTGTTAAAAAAAGGACATCATATTTGATAAAATAGAGCATCAGTGAAAACAAGAGGAATCCTCAGTGAGATTAACAACACATTAACCACAGTCATGTACATGCCAAGCAAGAGTCGTGGAGATGGTCAGGATATCTCATTTTGTTAAGCATTAAGTCATTATGAGTAAGAGCTGACTCAAAGCCAACCACCACCACCAACAGCAGAAATAAATATAACAAATGCTGTAACTATAAAAGTTAGACACTGACTTATGATCAATACAATATCAATGAGTAAATTAATTACATATATTATATTTACCCTTCATATTCTACTTCCTCTCTGTTCCATGATTTTCTCATTTCATTTCGCTTTATGATCACAATGATGAAAGTTATTAAAAAGGGCAGAGAAATGTAGAAACTGAGAATGAACCAGTTCTGATGTGAACTATGGTCTCTCTTAGTGACAAACGTATCTAGAAATGAAGCATATCAGACTCAGTGAGGATTTCCTAAGTATTTAACTACATTTGCATTTATTTCAATTTAATCTTTTATATATAATGTAGCATAATACAAATCTTAATATATTTTAGGCTATTGTAGAAAAAATAAAAGAATGTATGGATTCATAATCTAACAAGTACAATGATACTTTTACATAGATTTCATACGTTTTTCAAGCGTATTGTTCAAATAAGGAGTTCTAGTAGCATAGTGCTTACGAATGGAGCTGCTAATCTTATGGCCAGCAGTTCGAAACTACCAGCAGTTCCTGGGAGAAAGAAGAGGCTTTCTGCTACTGTAAAGATTTACAGCCTCGATAATCCTATCAATGGTCACTATGAGTTGGACGGATTTCATGGTACACCACCATCACCACCATATACAAGCTTCTCATAGTGCTAATTTAATATATTGGCATGAAATGAACTTTTAAAATTCAGAACAAATAGACTACGAGAAGCCCCCTTCTCCCTCCCATGGGAAGTCAAATCTCTTCTCCCCTTGGAGGAAGCTGCATTTAAAGACTCGTGTTTTCCACACAGTATTTCAGTATTTATAACTTATGCATACAAAAAATCTGATCTGTATCTATACTTATATATCATATATATGTGAGTTAATGTGCTAGACTGTAAAGTCGATTTGACTCGCAAGGTCAGAGGTTCAAGGTTAACAGCCAATCCTCGGAAACCCTATAGAAGGTCGCTGTAGGTTGGAACCGAGTTGACAGCACTTAAAAACAATATATACCCATAATGTATAAGTATTGTTGTTGTTGTTAAGTACCCTGGAGTCGGTTCCAACTCATAGTGATCCTGCACAGGGTTTCCAAGGCTGTAAATCTTTATGGGAGCAGAACGCCTCATCTTTCTCCTGCAGAACCGCTGATAGTTTCGAACTGCTGATCTTGCGGTTCACAGCCTGATTCATAACCACTACGCTATCAGAGATCCTTAATGTATGTGTATACGTGTCTGTCTTTGTGTCTATTCTTTGGTATTATATGAGGATTTTATATCCTGTATTCCTTACACACTTTTAAAAGTTGAAGTATCATCCGATCAATAATTTGTTGTTGTTGTTATTGTTGTTAAGTGCCGCCGAGTAGGTTCCGACCTGTAGCGACCCTGTATTGGGTTTCCAAAGAGTCACTGGTGAGCTTGAACCATCGATCTTATAGTTCAAACGGCTTTGCAGTCTGGCGCATTAACCCACAGTACCACACCAGGACTCCAATCAATAATTGGTGGATGGTGGTTATGTGCCGTGGAGTCGATTCCTACTCATAGCGACCCTGTACAGGGTTTCCGAGGCTGTAAATGTTTATGGGAGCAGAAAGCCTTATCTGTCTCCCGCGGAACAGCTGGTAGTTTCAAACTGCTGACCTTGCGGTTCGCAGCCCGATTCGTAACCACTATGCTACCAGAGCTCCTTAATCAATAATTACATAGATATAAATATACTAGAACAATTAGCAATTAATTAGCAAAATCAATGCATGTATATCCTCTTTCCTGGTCTCAAAATGAGCCCTGATAGAATCCCAAAAGATCGCTCAGGATGTTTGTTAATCATTACTCTACTCCCAAGATTACCACTATTCTGATTTCTGTAATTGTTACTTTTATTTAGCAACATTTATATGTTATCTAAACTGTAAACTGTCTTAGCTATCTAGTGCTGCTACAATAGAAATGCCACAAGTGGGTGGCTTTAATGAACAAATTTATTTTCTCAGTTTAGGATGTGTTTACAGTTCAGTGCTGATCCTATAACACCGCATCAGGAGTCCAGTTCTTGTTTACATACTGTGAAATGCAAACATTTTATCTGTACAGTTGAATGAGATTTGCTTAATGCATATACCCAATGGTAATCAACCAATTTTTAAATGCTTATTTTGACCTGTTATGGTGGTTTTCTCCATTTGATGTAATGTGCTTTTATTAGATATATAAATGTGTTTATTATTACAACAAAATATTGTGAATATTTTCTTTATACATTATTCTCTAAAATTTTTATTATTGTAATAGTTTTATTGAAATATGACTGACATATAATAAACTGCCCATAATAAAGGTGTGTACTTTTATGTTGTTGTTGTTGTTGTTGTTAAGTGCCATCGAGTTGGTTCCGACCCATAGCGACCACCTGTATAAGGTTGCTGAGGAGCATCTGGTGAGCTTGAACCGCCGACTTTGCAGTTCAAACGGCTTTCCAATCTGGCGTATTAACCCACAGCGCCACACCAGGAATCTGTGTACTTTGATAGATGTTGTTATATTTATTCACCCATGAAAATCAAAATAATAAATACATTATGGACCACAAAAGCTCCTTCTTGTTCCCTCTGCCATTTCCCCATATAGCCAGCCACTGATCTGTATTCTGTCATAAAGTAGCTTGAATTTTCTAGATTTATAAATAGAATGGTAAGATATATACCTATTTACTCTGTCTCTTCCACTTAATTTCAATTTTGAGATTCATACATGTTGGTACATATAATAATAATGTTTTTCTTTTTAATTTTCCATAGCATTCTTCTGTATGGGTATACCATAGGTTTTTTTTTGGTTGTTGTTGTTGTTTTTTAATCTATCATCTGGTGATTTATATTGATTATATATAGATTTTAGCTATGAATAACCTATTAAACGTGTCTTTCTTTTTTAGGGACAATAAATAAATAAATACAAGTATGTACTGCATCACTCAAAGATTTGACTAGCTATTATTTCATAACAAATATACATACTAATATTTTATCATACATGTTTTACAAACTTCATTTAGAATCAACACTTCATGCTACAGTTTTTATTAATGCTGTAGGATAAGCACTAGCCAGCTAATCGCAAAATTTATGGTTCAAATCCATGAGTCGCTCCTCAGAAACCCTATACAGGATTGCTGTGTGTCAGGACATGACAAGCACTTAAAAACAACGTAAGATTTCCAGTACTATAGAAAAAAACTTGTTTATTTATTAATTCTTTTAAAAGTCTTCTTGAATTTATATTATGATATTTATTGAAAATCTAACTAATTTATCTGAATTGATTAAATTTGAATTTCCTGAGAAAATCTCACCTGATTTCTGAACATTTCCATCATCAATACTGCCCCCTGGCGAACCAATCTGGTATTCACAATCCGGAGGCCTATAGCCTGGATAGCATTGGCAATTACCAAAGTTATTGCATATCTGAAACAACAAAAACATATAATCACCATTAAAATAATATTATTTCTCATCTGGTAGCGTAGTGGCTATAAATCGGGATGTAAACCGCAAGGTCAACAGGTCGAAACTACCAGCTGTTACATGTGAGAAAGATGAGACTTTCTGCTCCCTCGGAATGAGGCTATGAGTCGGAACCGACTCCACAGCACATAACAACAACAACAACATATAATATAAATATATAATTCCATTTATAAAATTGCTACTTTTCTTAAATGTGTTAAGTCTATACAGAGTTGCTCTGTGTTGAAACCAATAGCATTTGGCAACATATGGGAAATAGATCAGAAAAAGAAGTGAAAATTTTGACAATAAAATAATGTGAGTGACAGAATCACTACCAAAATGGGTGTCTAATTCTGGCTACTACCTACTAATGATTCTAATCAATTCTTGTCACCCCCAATCGTCTTTCTAAATCCGTTATCCAATTAAGTTATGGTCATTGAATTCACATCATTGGAATAAATTAACATTTTTTTCACAAACATTCTCACATTTAGTTATTTTGAAAATATCTGCATTCACTATCATTCTATTTATGCACTGTATTTTCTATATAAACTATTTTTATAAAATAATTGTCAATTGTCTTGGCCACTTTGGTTTCTTATCCTTGTCTCTTCAACATTGGATACTATTGATCAGTCACTGGTATTTAATTTCATAGTTAATACATTTTTACAAAATAAAATAACATGCATGGAATAGAAAATATTAAAAACGGCAATGAAATAAAAATTTATAAGCAGTGTTTTCTGTTTGTAGCATGGGGTGTTTCCATATTATTTACTCTTTCACTTATCAATAAAAAAACAAATTGCCATAGATTCGACTATGACTCATGACAGAGCCATACAGTTTTTTATGGTTGAATTTTTGGAAGTAGGTCACCAGATCTTTCTGTTGAGATGCTTCTGGGTAGATCCAACCTTTTAAATTTTCAGTTAGTGACCAAGTGTATTAACTGTTTGTACCATTCAGGGACTCCTACACAGCAAAAGTTTAATATTAAGTTTTATTTTAAAATAAAACAATCATATATGTTTTTGATAAAATAAAATTATATATAATGAAGAGTTCTCATTCATAATTCAATACCACTCCTCACTGCTAAGGGCTTTTCTGTTTCATACATACATATGCATTGATAGATAGACAAACACAAACACACACACAGTATTTTCCCCACAAAATAAGATCAACAAATAAAATATGACTATATTTTCATATAAGGAGCTCTGGTAGCGTAGTGGTTACGAGTCGGGTTACAAACCTCAAGGTCAGCAGTTTGAAACTACCAGCTGTTCCGTGGGAGAAAGATGAGGCTTTCTGCTCCAGTAAAGATTTACAGCCTCGGAAACCCTGTACAGGGTCGCTATGAGTAGGAATCGACTCCACGGCACATAACAACAACATATCTTCATATATTAGTGTAAAAATATAGAATTAACAACTTATACATAT